GCAAGCAGAGACTTGATCACCTATATAGCAATTTGATCAATTTGTCAAATATCTGTCAGATATTCAATATATAGTGGTAGGGTACAGCCTGTAGCCTCGTCAGAAAAAACATATCCTCAGTTAGTTAGCTCCATTACATAAATGAATGAATGAATAAATAAATAAATAAATAAATCTATATATTCATAATATACAATATTCATTATGATTTTTCATGAAGTTAATTCTAAACTAATGATGTAATTTGCGCAAGGAGTCTAGAAGTGAATTATACTGCAACTGTCCATTTAAAAAGCATAATTTTGGATAAAAATTGGCTAATCGGCTAAAGCTAAAACTGACAGGATGAATGGAGCGCATCACTAAGGGACAGCTTACCAGTGGTTCAGACCACCCTTCTTAAGATAGACCTTTCAGAAGATATATCTTCACTAAGGAGACTCTGGGAAACAGCCTGTAAGCTTAAGTGAGAACTTAATATACAACTTAAGCCTAGTTCACATTACAAGATTTTCACTGCAATTTTGACGTTGCAGGGGATCTTGAGAGCCACCTTGGGTCTGAGGTGAGTCAGCAGATAGTCTACCACGACGAGTCCTCATGTGTAAACAAGCCAACGAGCAAGTCACCCCCTCGTCTGTGACTGGGACTGGATATCTGGCATGCTAGAAAACTGGAGAAGTCTGACACAACTGACAAAGAGCATCAGACAATGAGAGGCGGAATACGTCCCACGTCAGCACGCAGGAGGACAGAAGAAATGTGAGGAGGACAAGTCACAGGGTTGCCACTTGCCAGGTCCACTTAATAGCCGCAACTTTGGGCTTGTTTCTAAAGTGGAGTTGCTTATTTGGGCTTGCTCTCTAAACATCACCTTTCTAAGTTATTTAAACGCTTTTGGGCTTGTTTCCATAGCCCTGGTTGCTTGTTTCTCTCCCAAGATCTGGCAACACTGACAAGCCAGCAAGCAACAACAACAATGGCGGCATCCACAGGATCACAGGAAGCGCGTTGTGTTTGGACCCAGGCCCTGGAGGCAGATCTGATTCAACACTGGGAAGAATATTCATGCCTTTACTATGTGTCATCCCCAAGTTTGGTGACGTCACCGCTTTATGTGGGGCTCTGTCGGTGAGGGCTCGGTGGAGAAATCTTGTGGTGTGTACACAGGTTGTAACACAGTTGGCAAGACTCCCGCAGACAGAAACACATGTCGCTAGGTATGAACACTCAAAAGATTACAATAGTCTCTGCGATGCAAAATCAGGGTGAAAATCGTGTAATGTGAACTAGGCTTGACAATGCATGTAGCTCTACGAAGGCTCTGGGAAACTGGGCCCAGATGAATTTGTTTGTTGACTACGTGGCTCTTGTCCAGGTCCCTATTTCCTTCAACCTATCTCCATACACTACAGATTTTGAATCAGTGGGTGCCAGTTAGATTGTATCCATCTTCAGTTGCTCATGCTAATCAATTGTGGTTTATATTTTGTAGGATATATACGTGCCGGTGTAAGCTCCAATGTTTGCATACTGTAACCGGGTCACAAACTGTTCTCTCTCCTGCCCTCTGGCAGGAGATACAGGAGCTTAAAGTCACGCACACACAGACTCAAAAACAGTTTTTACCAGTGGGCCATTGGGCTGATAAATCAATGCATATGACATCATTTTGCTTGTCAGGTGCAATCCACTACTTATTAAATAGTGCAATCTACAACCTATTAAGTGCAGTCCACTATATATCTAACACAGTTTGATACAAGCCTATTTTTTTTTTTCAATACTATTTATTTCCAATTTTATGAATGATTGTATTGTCTGTTTTTACTTGGTTGTTTTATTAACTAGTTGGCACCTGATCCTAATCTCCTTGTATAATCTTAGTACAATGACAATAAAGACTTTCTATTCTATTCTAATATTTCAGTATAAACAGTAAGCCACTCACGTTCTGTTGTATAATAAATAGTTCACAGCATTTTTATTCTAAAAGGTAAACTGCATTAATAAATTAATGAATTCAAAATTACCTTAGGCATACTTTACACTACATGGTTCAAGTGACCCAGTTCTGATTTTTTCCTCTCAAGTGGCACAGATCGGATCTGTAACATGAATGTGTAAACAGGAAAAAAAAAACGCATGATATCGGATATTGCCAGATCGGATTCAGGCCTCCTTCATATGTGGAAATATATCAGATATGAATCACATATCTGCCAATAGGTCTGTAATCTAAACAGATCGGATATTTCCTGGCAATCCACGCTGTACGTCATGAATAATGCGACGACAGCTCATTTTGATGACGTGCTCATGAGCGAGGGAAAGGAAGGAAAGCCGAATAAATTGCACGTCAATCAAAAACTATGAACCAAAAAAAGCACAATCTATCCCGAGTGAGACAAACTGCTTGATCCCCATCTCCAGTGTACCAGCAGAGAACCTGCAGAACCGAATCAGCGAAAAACACACTGGGCTACACAGCCTCTCTACCTGAGCAGCTGAAGCTGCGGCTCACACCCTCGACACACAGACGGTGCTTCTGCATGCCAGCCAAACATGTGCGCAACTGTGAGAAATAAATATGTGAGGTGTACGCTGCTTTTCTAGCTTTTTTTATTTATTTTTCTTTCTTTCTTTCTGTCAGCGACATACACTCCTAATACAGGATGGGTTGTTTTATTGACTGAGTTGATTATTAAGCCATAGTCATGCACGGATCGGCTCTGATAGCACCCGAATCAGCATGTACGCATCAAACATCCAGCTGCACCCATCTGCAGCTTCACAGACATTTCCACCGCTCTGTGTAGGCTAAGTTACCTTTTAAATTATGTGGAGCAGTGCCAGCTTTCCTGGTGATTTTTTCTTTAACGATTAACTTCATATATTTTAAGTTAGTCCTTAAAATTGCTTTCAGTAATGTAAACATTTCCATGCGCACAGTAATGTCACTGTAGCAAATACCGTGTGACATTTACACAGTGGTCAAGAGTGCTGGACCGGAAGTGTCGCACAAAAAACTGGAAGCTGGCTGCGTTCTGTTTTGCCTCCATGTGTCCGTGAAAAATAAGGTGAACAGAACATGTAAACAACAGTCAGGAAAAATCGGATATAGGCAACAAATCGGAATTGGGCATCAAGACATGGTAGTGTAAAGGCAGCCTTACAGTCTCCTGTGTTCCTAAGAATAACATGAGGAGAAGGCAAAATGCTCCGTGGCTCAGCTGTGTTGCTTTTTACGTTATGCCAGCAGCAGAGCTGCAAGGAGCTCCTCTTGCCATTCAATCCATGGAAAGTCTAGACACTGAGCAGGCCAGGCGCATGGTTTTTGAGGTGAAAATGGCTGAACATAGAGTTATTCCAAGTTAGTTGCTTGGAACTGCTGCCTTTTGTGAATATGACTTGCAAGATAACTCTATCGCATCCGTGCTGGAGACTGTCCAGGTGATGCACTTTCCTCACAGTTGAGTTCCGCCTCTCACATTCCATCACATTATTAACAAGATAGGTTATCAATTTTTGACATTTGTGAATCGATTATTTCCCCAGCCCTAATTCACACACGCTTTCACACACTGGTGGCCGACGCTAATGTGCAAGGTGCCACCTGCTACTGAGTTTAAATGCAATCACACACTGATGGCCATCAGGAGCAATTTGGGGTTCAGTATCTTTCCCAAGGACACTTTGACATGCAAACAGGAGGAGCTGGGGATCGAACCACTAATCTTCCGATTAGTGGACAACCTGCTCTGCCTACCCAAACCTTTAATGGACCTTTAGTTTAGCTGATATTGTTTCGACAACTGCTGTTTCCAAGGTTACAAATGAATTTGTAAAGCCCAATAGAATAAGGATTTGTCCCTCAGACTGTGACCTCTAACACCAGATATAGCAAACTCTGAGGTGATGGGTTTACAATAGGATTGCAGCAATATTCTGGTTTCAAGGTAAACCATGATATTAAAGTTATCATACCAGGTGCATCTACGATATTGGAAAAAAAATGCAACTGAATGCTGAATCTCTCCTTTATTTTATCTATTTTCAAAGGGGAGACTTTTTACACATACTTCCATTAACAGATTGATTGATTCATCTTCTAACCGCTTCATCCTCTTGAGGGTCGCGGGGGGGCTGGAGCCTATCCCAGCTGACATTGGGCAAGAGGCAGGGTACACCCTGGACAGGTCACCAGACTATCGCAGGGCTGACACATAGAGACAAACAACCATTCACGCTCACATTCACACCTACGGACAATTTAGAGTTATCAATTAACCTAGTCCCCAATCTGCATGTCTTTGGACTGTGGGAGGAAGCCGGAGTGCCCAGAGAGAACCCACGCTGACAAGGGGAGAACATGCACAGAAGAGCTCCCACACCCGGGATCGAACCGGCAACCCTCTTGCTGTGAGGCGACAGTACTAACCACCACACCACCGTACCGCCCTAACAAAGTGGTGACAAGTTTCAATTATAGTAATAAAGCATTTTCCAGCAAATATAACTGAAACATGTTTTCAGTCCTTTAAGGGTCGTTCTGACTGATATTAATAGAAATTCTGTAAAAACCATGATACCATGACTGCAATATTTTCTGAGACAGTTACTGTACCATGACAATCTCATACCATTGCAACAATTGTTTGCAATGTCTGACAGTGGCTCTATTCCATCTCTCTTTTCCTATGCTGCATTGTCTGAAGCAGACATGCCCCAGAACAAAAAAACAAAAACAAAACACAGCACAGCACAGCCTACCCAGAGGGCGATCTGCATGAAAACAGGCAAGCAGAGAATCATCATGTGGCGTTAGAATAAAAAATAAAATATGTTTGGTGTGGAGAACAAGGACCTTCCCTGCAGCTGTGCACTGCCACTGACTCTCACACACACCAACACTACTTGAAAGCAAGAAGGGACAGCCAACAGGTTTATGATATACTTTCTCTCCATCACATCCCTTAGTTTGTCCTTAACTGCCTTACCTTTCTTGGTTATGATAATGCGGAGCAGTGGATTGGCTGAGGAGACAGCTTTGTGGAAGTTGTCATCATTGTTGATTGGAAGGAGGTCTCCATGGATGTCAGCATATCCCAGCAGCACGTCGACACCAGGGATGCGATGGATGGTTTGGAGGAGGCAGTAGAACTCCTGAAACCCACCCGGGCCATTCCTCTTTAGAGCAAAGCGCCGGTATTCTGCCTCAAACTGAAGACGACAATGAACAAAAGCATTAAATGTCTCTGCCCAGGATATTTAGGGCCCAAGCACCGACCTCGGTGCGAGGAGGACCCTACTGAAATTGAAGGAATTATTATTATCATTTTTCTGACAAATAAATTGCCTTTTTGGGGGCTTTAACATACTCAAAAACTCCCCAATTTGTGTGTCCCCTTCAGTTCCCATGTACATGTTAGTGTGATATTGCTTTTGTTGGTGGGCAGGACAAAATGACTTGACCATGCCTCTTAAACAGCAGCCCCCGCAGCATGTTTCACCGACATGCACGAAAATCGGTGCATACCTGTTTCATGCCCGGATGCACAAAAAAAGTCTCTTGGACCCATTGCCTAAACCCAACAGGAAGTCGGCCATTTTGTATTTCATGGTCATTTTTGGCATTTCGCACATTTTTCTTTCTTTTTTTTTTTAATACTTTATTTTAGAACAGAAAATGTTTGTGTCATCCGCAAATAACACAAATTTAAAACTTTCCGAGACCTTACAAATATCATTTATATATAATAAACAATTTGGGACCCAAAACAGACCCATGTGAGACTCCACATGTAATATCAAGGTGTGTTGATTGGTGATCACCCATCTGCACAAATTGATTCCTGTTTACCAAATAACTTTTCAACCAGTTGAGTATAACCCCTCTAATTCCATGTTTTTCTAATTTCATGATTAATACCTGTTGATCTATGGTGTCGAATCCTTTTTTTTTTTTTTTTTAAGTCTATAAATACTCCTACTGCATACTTTTTTTGGTCCAGAGAACTGGTTATTTCTTCCATTAATTCCATTAATGCCATTGATGTGGATCTTTTTGATCTGAAGCCGTACTGACTATCGTTTAACAGTTCATACTTTTCAATGAAATTATCTAGTCTACTTGCAAAAAGCTTTTCCAAAATTTTCAAGAATTGCGAGAGGAGCGAGACCAGCCTGTAATTAGTGAATTGTTTCCTGTTGCCAGCTTTGTAAAGTGGGATGACCTTAGCAGTTTACATTTTACATGGAAATACACCAGTTGTAAATGACAGATTACACACATAAGTTAATGGTTTTACAATGACAGCGATTACTTTCTTAATTAAAGACATATCTACGCGTTCCAGTCTGTGGACATTTTTATTTCCTTTTCAGCTGCTGCTTTCAAAAACATTGAGCTGGGGTTGCTGTCTAAAAAGTCGACAACCTTCCCCCGTCCCTCTTCTGGCTGTGGGTTTGTGATTTGTTCTGCCAGTTTTGGTCCCAGGCTTACAAAAAATCAGTTGAACCCATTGGAAGCCTGGTTCTATGTTTCCCAGGTTCTATGTTCCCAACTTAACCCTGCAACAAAGGTTCAATGTTCCCCGCTTACACAAAAAAGGTTCTATGTTTCCCGGGTTCTATGTTCCCTGCTCAACCAAGCGGGAAACATAGAATCCGGGAAACATATAACCTTTTTGGGTGGTAAGCAGGGAACATAGAACCCCGGAAACACAGAACCCGGGAAACATAGGGATGACCCCAACCCACTGACCACATCATTCATATGGAATACAGTTTTATGACCTTCCATAAAGTATTCAGGGTAATTTTTATTTGTTGAACCATTCCTGATAATATTGTTTAACACATTCCATATGCCCGTGATATTTGTTTTATTATTGTCCAGTATGTCATTGTAGTAATCTTTCTTAGATTTCCTCATAATATTAACTTATTTTTGTACATGTTGTATTTCTTTTCTGCTTCTATAGTTCTTGATTATATGAATTCCCTGTATAATGTAATATTTTTTTTTGCATGCATTTGTAGCCCTTTCGTGATACATGATTTATCTGTATATCTTTTCTTCCTCTTGCATAGTTTTAATGGACAATGCTTATCATATAATGACTTAAATATTAGCAGGAATGTTTCATATGCTTTGTTACTATCAGTTTCTTCATACACTTTTTTCTAATTCTGTGTTAATTCATTTCTAAAGTTGTTAATAGATTCTTCTGTTCTTATTCTTTTGTATCTAGACACATTGGCATCCTTAAACATATCATAATCACAATCATACCTCACAAACACTGGCAAATAATCACTGATGTCAATCAGAAGTAGTCCACACATCATGGTATTATCCGCACAGTTAGTGAATATATTATCAATTAGTGTGGCGGAGTGAGATGTTATTCTGCTTGGTTTGGTGATTAATGGAAATAAACTCATACTAAAAATTACATCGATACATTCATCAGTCAGTTTATGCTTATTAGGATTTAAAAGATCCAAGTTGAGATCCCCACAAATGAACATATTTTTGTTATTTTCAATGGAAAACATTCTTTCGATGCTATTCTTAAATGGTTCAACATCAGACCTAGGAGCTCTGTATACACAACTTACCAATGCCTTTTTCTTTCTTCCCAAGCAGAATTCTACAGTGATACACTCCATCACATCATCAATAATAGTTTTTTGTTCTGCCTGTTTAAGTAATTCAGTTCATACCCGTTCATCTCAAAATCCACAGCCTTTTCAGTACTTAGCCAGGTCTCAGATATGGCTATAACATTAAATGGCTTATTTAGGTGACTTAAGTACTCTTTGATATTGTGAAAGTTAGTGTATAAACTCCTGCTGCTAAAATGGATGATTGATGACCCCTGACCTGATTTTGTATGCTTGTTGAATTCATCCTCTGAGTAGTAGCTGCAGTTATTATTGTTAAAAAAAAAATTCAGGATCAAAGTCCTGCAGATTATGGTCCGTGAATTTGAATGTTTTAAAGTTCAAATCATTACACATATCTTTATCCTCATTTCCATATGATGTCCCGTTTACATAGTCAATCTCTTCACCTGAATCCATATTCATTCAGTTCAGAAAAACACACACAGTGTTAATCTAGTATGCAGATTTAATTTTATGTGCTCTGGGGTCATTGGTACTTTTCCAGCTCTTCTATGTATCTGATGTTCAGTACTTTGGCATCCTCAGGTGACTCGTTCAGCTTGATAAAGACCTTATAGTTTGTTGTCTTCTGCTTCCTTAGAAAGCGCGCTTTTCTGGTGATGTCGCCACTTTTTTTGTTAGGTGTTCATTCACAAAAACATCAGTTCCCCTGAGTTTTCTTCCTTGGATCAGGAGTGTGTTTTTGTGTTTTCTGTTGGTGAAGCGGATTATTATGGCAGGTTTGTCACTTTTGTTTTTCTGTGGTAGAGGATGACATGCCTCAATGTCTGTGCTGTCAATGGAGATGCCTTTGCTGTGGAAAAAGGCAGTCACCTGTTGCTCCACAGAGCCCATGTCAGGTTCTGTTGGTCCCCCTCATCTGCCCCTGCCACTGCCCTGGCGTAGGACCAGGGTCTGGTCTCCAACCCACTGACAATAATGTCATTCATGCGGGTATACTGCTCCAGGTCTGCTGCACGGCTCTCCAGACTGGCGAGCCTCTTCTTCTTCTCCTCATTCTGACTTTTCAGAGCCTTGATTTCACTCATCATGTCCATTATCATTTTCTGCTGCTTAGAAACAGTAGCAATCTCCTCTGACATGAAATCAAGCGCCCTCTTTATCTCCTCGACTTACTTGTTCTTTTTAGGTGGCATTGTGACTGTTGTCACGGGTAATGATGACGCGCATGAAGGTGACCAATCGCAGTGCTGAGCGGCAAAAGCAATCTCAAAATACAGAAGAGCAGGAAGCAAGTAAGAAGTAACTGCCACTTATGTGTGTTTTTAATACTGTAACAAAAACACAATGCTGCTCTGGTTGGTTTTATGCCACACACTTCAGTACAGCCGACTCATTGGGCACACACATAGACACACACGTCCACACACAGATCAGGCTGGGAGCTGTGAAGCCCCCGACCTTTCAGAGACTAACCCGTCAGACAGTAATCCCTGTGAAGGGACACTGATCTGCGGAGCCACAGCGAGCAACCGTCAACCACAGCTAAACTGACCACACGTGAGACAATATAACTTACCCCAGTAAAGTCGACCGCCAGGAGAGGAGCACCTATCCAGCTAGTTAGCAAGAGAGGCAACAGGCAGCAACCACCACACTCCAGCCCAGACCGCGTGAACAAGCAGCGTGACCGAGTGTGACAGCATGACTACGTGTTGTGATTTAACAAACTTGTCCTACAGATTTACTCGGATTTGCGATGTTTATGTTAGCCTGACTACATTGTGACCAAAAGTTATTACAGGATCTGCCCAATGTTGAATGGCGCACCCACTGTGGAGCTTGAATTTTGAGGTCTCACCATGAAAAACAAAATTGCTATAACTTTGGCGTAAATGGTCCTATCTCAACCAAACTTCACATGATTCATATTAGTCTGACCCTGAACACATTTACATAACCATTTTTTCCTGATAGTCATAGTGCCACCTAGTGGCGACAGGAAATTACATGTTTAACACTTAAACGTGCTTCTCCTGGCAGGTTGACTATATCCAACTCATAAAGGTCTTAAGAACTTGGTTATGTTATATGGTGAAGATGGTAAAATGTCACCAAACGGCATCGCCATAACAGCACAGCAAAGTCGGATGTTTCGCCAAAACACAGGAAATGGCATTAACTAAAGTGGACTTTGTTCAATCTACCTGAAACTTAACACACTACTTAATAGTCTAGGCCTGGACATGAGTGTCATCGATGAGCACGGCAAAATGGCTTGGCCACGCCCTTTAAAGAGGAGCCCCCGCCGCATGTTTTACCAACATGCCCGAAAATCGGCACACACCTGTATCACGCCCAGATGCACAAAAAAGTCTGATGGACCCATTGCCTTAACCCAACAGGGAGTGGGCCATTTTGAATTCCGTGGTCATTTTTGGCTTTCACACGTGTTGTGATTTAACGAACTTGTCCGACAGATTTAATCAGATTTGCTCCAAACTTGGTTTACGTGAGCCTGACTACGTTGTGATCACAGGATCTGCCTAATGTTGAATGGCCCGCCTGCTGTGGAGTGTTGAATTTTG